CGAAAATCCTCCATAGGGGCGGCCATTTTTGGTGCCTCTAAAGCGAGGTAAAACAGCGGGGGCCATTTTGTTTTTCCGGTGGCCATTTTGAAACTGCCGATCAGCTGTTTAAAAAGGGTCACTTTGCCATGATCGCTTCACCGCGATCATCGCAAAGTGAATTTTCTCCATAGGGATCATCACAAAGCGATCGCAAAAACCCCATCGATAACCAATTTCATCGCTCAACGGAGCAATCACTAAGCAAGGCACCACTGTCATTCAGTCCAGGAGTCAGAGTCCTTCTCCAAGATTCTTCACAACGACACAGCACCTTCCACCACCACGACCACCACCACCACACTACCACAGAGTGTGTGATCTGAGGCTGCTTGTTTTATCCCAGGGTTAGCCAATCCTAGGTTTTCTTTCTCAGCTGATACAAGTCTTGTATTACCACAGCTGTATAAATTCTTACATTACTTATTTTCTTAGCATGGATCCTTATAATTACTTACAGCATTTTTGCTCTTTACAACTGCTTAGCACAAAACTGTATTAACAATTCCTCCAGGTTTATATCAAACCTGTCAATTCTTGGCAAAGATACTGGAGTGGCTTGCCAATGCCTGCTCCAGGTGGAGCGTGTTTAGTCAGAACTCTCCACTATGACCTGTCCGTCTTGGGTGTCCCTGCACGGCACGGCCCATAGCTTCCATGAATTACTCAAGCCCCTTCGCCACAGCAAGGGAGCAGTCCTTGAAGGGGGCCATGATAGCCATGTTTAAATCTTTGAAAGGTTGTCATGTTGAAGGTGGGGCAGGTTTGTTTTTCCAGGGCTCCAGAGACTAGGACACAGAACAATGGTTTCAAACTACAGGAAAAGAGATTCCATCTGAACATTAGGAAGAACCTCCTGATGGTCGGAGCTTTCCGGTAGTCAAATAGGATGGCTTGAAGGCTGGCAGAGTCTCCTCCTTTAGAGGCTTTTAAGCAGAGGCTGGATGGCCATCTGTTGGGAGTGCTTTGATGGATGTTCCCACATGGTGGGGGTTGGACTGGATGGCCTCTGAACCTTGTCTAAGAATAGACTCTAGATAGAACATACAAATAATCCCAAAATAATACAGTGGTGCCTTGTGAATACATCGTCTAGCAAAAAGCGTTTCCCCATTGGAATGCACTGAAACCCATTTAATGCGTTCCAGTGGGAAAAATCGTCGTCGTCCAGCGATCGCCCATAGGAAAGCCATTTTGCGAAGCGCAGACTGAGCTGTCAAAATCATCATCTTGCGAAAAAACAGTCTGCGAATATAGACCAAATAATCGTGCAGGGAAATTCCCCCATAGAAAACGTTGGTCGTTATAGTGATCACAAAAACTCATCATCATGCAGATTCTTTGTTTTGCGGGTTAATCATCTAGTGAGGTACCACTGTAACCACAATTCCAATTAGAACATTCTGTAGGGTGAAGGAATCCAACATCCATGAAGTTATCCAAGATTCTGATCCCATACTAGTCCTTTTGAGGCATCTGGTACATACAACATGTTTGATTTACATACGCACACATGCCACCATGATGCAGGAGCATCCTATCAGTGGCTAACCTCTGTTGCAAAACCATATACTTCAGGGAAACTACTTCAGCCTTTAATTTTGTTTGTATCTCCATAGTAACATTCTCCAAGAGATCTATGGCTCCTGAAGTGTTAAATACAAATTCTGCCAAGGTGGAAATGTCTTTATAGTTTTCTGCCACCCTTACTGCTGGAAAAAGGCTCCTTCCTACTTGAGTTGAGCATTTGAAGGCCTCCGGAGAAGGCCTCGGTGACATCTCTGGTTTGAGTAGAATAATTTGTACAGTGGTGCCTCGATTTACGAACGTCCCAATTTGCTACCATTTTGAGTTACGACCAGCTCCAACTGTGGCCAGAACTTCGAGTTACAACCAAAAATAGACAGAGGGAAAAGGTGGGGGATTCACATTGCTACCTGTTGGAAGGTGAAGAGGCTGTTTTTTTGTAGCTCTTTCACCCCAGCAGTTAGAGAGTGTACAATCAGAGGACACTTTGGACTGCCTGGTTAGGTAAGATGCTGCTTTCTGCTTTTTTAAAACTGTTCTGGGTGGGTTTTGCAGCGTGGTTTTGGACTGAGGGGATTACGTTTCTGTGCTGTGATGGGTCTTACTTGTTTTTTGAGTTTTTCCCCCATTTCCGATGGGTCTTGGAGGGTTTGCTTGGTTTGTTGATTTTTCCCCCCTCCATTTCTGATGGGCCTTGGAGAGTTTGATTTTTCGGGTTTTTTCCCAGTCCAATGGGTCTTGGGGAGTTAGTTTGCTATTTGGGTTCCCCCCCATTTCTGATGGGTTTTGGGGGGTTTGCTTCTATTTTCGTTTTCCACCATTTCCGATGCATCTTCCACGTTTGGCTTGTTTTCTGCTTTGCTTTATTTGCATTTCTGATGGGTCTTGCACACTTGGCTTGCTTTCTCCTTTGCTTTTTTGCATTTCTGATGGTTCTTGCACACTTCGCTTGCTTTCTGCTTTGCTTTTTTTGCATTTCTGATGGGTCTTGCATGCTTGGCTTGCTTTCTGCTTTTTTTCCATTTCCGATGGGTCTTGGGGGCTTGGATTTTTTTTGGTAATTTTTTTCTTCAGCTGGAATGGATTAATTCATTTCAGTGCATTTCAATGGGAAATGGTGCTTCGACATACAACCATTTTGATTTATGACCATCTTACAGAATGGATTAAGTACATAAGTCAAGATATCACTGTATCTGATTTAATTCATTATTCAAGAAGGGCACTTTGGGCAGTGGAATCTGTCCAAGGTCGTCTGTCATGAAGACAGATGCAAAAAACTCATTTAATTTCTTTGCAATCTCCAAGTCCCCCTTTCCCTCCCTTTTCCCTCCCTCAACATCCAGAGGGCCAGCCACTTCTGTGGCAAGTTTCCTGCTTCTAACATATTTAAATACAGTGGTGCCCTGCATCGCTATAAGGAAACATCGCTAAATGGGATGGAAAATGCCATTGGAACACATTAATTAGTTTAATGCGTTCCAGTGGCTTCAATACTCACCGTTTAGCGAAGTTTCCTCATACCGCCCCCATTTTCGCGCCCTCAGTAAGCAAGGGCAGTGTGCGAAAATGGTTGCGGCGGCCATTTTGGGTCACGCGGTGGCCATTTTGGAGCCGCCGAACAGCTGATTTCCCGGCGTCGCAATTCGAAGATCGGTAAGCAAAACATTTACCGGTCTTCGCAATGTGAGTTTTGCCCATTGGGGCTGCCAGTATGCCTTCGCATTAGCGATCCCAAAAAAGGGATCGCTATGCGAATTCATCGTTGTACGGTGCGCTTGTTAAGCGAGGCACCACTGTGTTTATTATTCCTCTTTATATTGCTGGCCATACATTCCACAAAGTCTTTCAGTTCTGTACCATCTTTTTTTGCCAGGGCTTGTGTTCCTTTTTATTTTCCTCATTTGGGAAGGATTTAAATTTACGGAAGGACCCCTCCTTTCCCTTCAAAGTCTTTCCAATTCTGCTTGTTAACCAGCCACATTCCTGGACTTAGTTGACCTCCTTTTTTTCGGTATACACTTCGGCTGGGCCTCTACTATGGTTGTTTTAAGCAGACTCCATGGCCTCTGGAGAGCTTTTCCTTTCTTTTTTAATCTTCTCTTTCAACTTCTTTATAATTTGCTTCCTTGTCTGAGGGAAGTATGCCCTTCAGAAATCGAGTGCTTTTCTTTCTGGAGATTTGCTTGACATTCTCTCTCATGCAAGGTGAAAAGGTTGACAGCTGGGTCACTATTCCCTAGTGACTCAGTGACGTTCCCATCCCTAACCAGGTCCTGAGTACCACACAATAGTAAACCCAGAGTCACCTTTCCTCTGTTGGGGTCCATGAGAATTTGCTCCAAGGAAGAGTCCTTTAGCGTCAAGAAACCCAGTCTCTCTTGACATGAGCATGTATTGACCCAGTCGATGTGAGGACAATTGGAGTTCAACATGATTACAATCCTGTCCCTTTTGGACACCTCCCTTATTTCTCTCTGCATTTCAAATTCCCCCCCTGGAGGTTGATAGCCCCCCCTTCCAACTATCACATTGTTCCTTGGCCCGGCAGTTTAACCCACAGCGATTCTATGATGGAGTCACCCTCTCTGTCCATCTCCATTCTGCTGGACTCTACCCCTTCTTTGACCTAGATGGCCACCCCACCTCCAACACGCCCCTCCCTATCCCTCCTATCAAGTTCATAGTCTGGGGTTGCAGCATCCCACTGGTTCTCCAAATCCCACGAGGTCTCCATTACGGCCACTATATCAGTCTTATATCTATCCTCCAAATGTTCCAGCTCTCCCATCTTTGCTCAGACACTTCGGGCATTTGCTTAAAATCACCTGCATATAGGGGTCCCCCAAGAAGGGCTGCTTGTTTGCTTCTCCTTCCAGTGGACCAACAATCCCATCCCATCATGCTCCCAGTCCTATTTCCTCCACTGTTGCCACTTTGTTGTTCTCTTCCCTCTACACCCTCATTCCACAGGGTTGAGAAGTCCCAAAATGAACACCACTCGGATCCTGTCAGCTTATCCCCGGGATTCAGTTTAAAAGCTGCTCTGCCACTTTTTAATGTCACGCCCCAGCAGTTCAGTTCCGTATTTATTCAAGTGAAGCCTGTCCCTCTTTTACAAACCCGGCTCCTCCTAAAATATTCCCCAGTGCCTGATTAATCTAAACCCCTCCCCTTGACACCACCGACTCAACCACACATTCAGACCCATGAGCTCTGCGTGCCCTACCTGGCCTCCCTTCATTACTCCTCCCTCCAAAAGGTCCCTCAGGAACATCCTCCGGTCTGGGCTAATCCCCTGCCTGGTTCTCTTCCCTTGCCTTTTTGGCTATCTTTCCTTCCTCTTCCATGACCCAGGTGGAGCCTGAACAGATCATTCTTTATTCCTGTAGATTTTGGAAGTGATTCTTTCTCTTATTTTTCTAATCCAACAGATGATGGACAGGAGAAGAAAAATTGCCCAGCAGCATCTGGTGCAACCTGGGCAGGAACTCATAATCAAGCAAGAAAACAGAGAACTGAAAATAGGAATGGTCAGGCATGGACTTCACATGAAAGAAGTGTCAGAGGGGAGAAACCACGTCAATGAATGTCACCTCAGTAGACATCAAAGAACACATGCAGGAGAGAAATTTTGTCCATGTATGGAATGTGGAAAGAGCTTCCGTCACAGTAGTAACGTTAGGAAACATGAAAGAAATCATAGTGGGGAGAAACTGTATAAATGCATAGAATGTGGAAAGAGCTTTAATCAGGGTTCTGCCCTCTGTATTCATCAAAGAATTCACACTGGGGAGAAACCACATAAATGCATGGAATGTGGAAAGAGCTTTATTCGTAGTTGTCATCTTAGGTCACATGAAAGGACTCACTCTGGGGAGAAACCACATAAATGCATGGAATGTGGAAAGAGCTTTAGTGGCAGTGGTACCCTTAGGTTACATCAAAGGACTCACTCTGGGGAGAAACCACATAAATGCATGGAATGTGGAAAGAGCTTTAGTGGCATTGGTCACCTTAGGTTACATCAAAGGATTCACACTGGGGAGAAACCACATAAATGCATGGAATGTGGAAAGAGCTTTAGTGGCAGTGGTACCCTTAGGTTACATCAAAGGACTCACACTGGGGAGAAACCACATAAATGCATGGAATGTGGAAAGAGCTTTAGTCAGAGTGGTCACCTTAGGTTACATCAAAGGACTCATACTGGGGAGAAACCACATAAATGCATGGAATGTGGAAAGAGCTTTAGTGGCAGTGGTACCCTTAGGTTACATCAAAGGACTCACACTGGGGAGAAACCACATAAATGCATAGTATGTGGAAAGAGCTTTATTGAGAGTGGTCACCTTAGGTCACATCAAAGAACTCACACTGGGGAGAAACCACATAAATGCATGGAATGTGGAAAGAGCTTTATTTGTAGTTCTCATCTTAGGTCACATGAAAGGACTCACACTGGGGAGAAACCACATAAATGCATGGAATGTGGAAAGGGCTTTAGCAGCAGTGGTACCTTTTGGTTACATCAAAGGATTCACACTGGGGAGAAACCATATAAATGCATGGAATGTGGAAAGAGTTTTAGTCATAGTGGTCACCTTAAGTTACATCAAAGGACTCACAGTGGGGAAAAAACGTATAAATGCGTGGAATGTGGAAAAAGCTTTATAGGGAGTAGTGCCCTTAGGAGTCATCAAAGAACTCACACTGGGCAGAAATCACATAAATGCATGGAATGTGGAAAGAGCTTTAGTCAGAGTGGTCACCTTAGATTACATCAAAGGAGTCACACTGGGGAAAAACCACATAAATGCATGGAATGTGGAAAGAGCTTTAGTCAGAGTGGTCACCTTAGGGCACATCAAAGAACTCACACTGGGGAGAAATCATAGAAATGCACGGAATGTGGTAAGAGCTTTATTCACAGCTCCTTATATGTTAAGGCATAAGGAGCTCATTCGCTTTTGTCCTGGTTTCTAGTGGAAAGAATAAGCAACCAAACACTGTCATAATGGAAAAAAGAGAAAAAATGGAGTGCCTTTTGACATACCATTTGTTATATGTTTTTCTTCTATCGTTAACAGAGAGATACAGCGTTATAGACGTTGAACCTTGTGCTTAAAAAATGGGAATAAAAAAATTATACAATGGAAGCTTTTACAAAATTCATGTAAAAGAAAAAGATGGATGTTCTAAGTCTAACTGATGTAATAAAAACAAGTAGTGAGAGAAAAGCTGTCTTTACACTCATAAATAATAAAACTAATAATTGAGTTTTAAAATGGATGCCAATGAATATATATTCGGTATTATTTATGATATAACTATTATTATAATTATGATATATTTTTATTAGTTAGAGACCAAATTGCTAACATGCACTGGATTATGGAGAAAGCCAGAGAGTTCCAGAAAAACAATTACTTCTCCTTTATTGATTATGCAAAAGCCTTTGACTGTGTGGACCACAACAAACTTATGGCAAGTCCTTAACGAAATGGGATTACCTGACCACCTTATCTATCTCCTGGGAAATCTATACGTGGGACAAAAAGCAAGAGTTAGAACTGGGTATGGAACAACTGGTTGGTTCAAAATTGTAGAAGGGGTACGACAAGGTTGTATGTTGTCCCCCTCCTTATTTAACTTCTATGCAGAATACAGCATGTGAAAGGCTGGACTGGAGGAATCCCAAGACAGAATTAAGATTGCCGGAAGAAATATTAATAGCCTCAGATATGTGGATGATACTACTCTGATGTCAGAAAGTGACAAGGATTTAAAGAACCTCTTAATGAGTGTAAAAGAGGAGAGGGCCAAAAATGGTCTGAAGCTCAACATCAAAAGAAAAACTAAGATCATGGCCACTGGTC